GAATTTATATCTGAAATATATAAAGAACTTTCAAAACACAACATCAGGACAGATAACCATCCAAGTGAAAAAATAGACCAAAAATGAAGAACTATTAGGAGGCTTATCTCATAATGTGAATATATTTTTAAAGAATTATATATTTATGCATATAGAACTGGGTACAGGCCAGAGTTGCAGGAGGTTGAGAGGATTCACCAAAGACAAGAGTGGGAGCAAAACAGGCAGATTGACTGAAATAAACTGCTGAGGGGAGCAGTGGACGGGGTCAGGAGAAGTCTGCTGAGCCATGTGGGTCGGCTCCCTCCCCCAGGATTGAACTCGTGCTGCAGTGGCTGCAGCTAGCTTCATAGTGCTGTGCTTTAACCTGTTGTGCCACCAGGGAGGGCCCTCATAATATGCATATTTTGTGTCCATTTGGATCACCTCTGGGAAGCCTCCACTATATCCTGGTGTCATCTCTGCCACGCCTCACAGGATCTGTTCGAAATACTTGCTATCATCTGTGCCATGGGGGAGAATGCCTTGTCTATAAAAAGAACTGACACATAGCTGTCAGTTCTTGGTGTGTGTCAGACAAGGTTCACACAGAGGAGATCATACTTGAAGTGAATCTTAAAAAGTAATGTTCCTGTGTATGTTGATCTCATTCAGATAATCTGGGATAAACTCTCTATTTTTGAGGTCAGCAGATTAGCAGTCTTAATTCCATGTACAATCTAAATTCTTCTTTGTCGGATAGAAAAGTACATTCACAGGTTCTGGATATGAGAATTTTGACATCCTTTGCACCCTAAAATGTAGAACCTATATGCAGACCTGTCCACATTGAGACTTGATTTAATGCACACATTTGGATTTGTAGAAAGGACTGCCTGTTCCATAACTGGTGTTGACACAACTGATTGTCCTACAGAAAGAGTGAAGTTGGAGCCCAACCTAATAATGTACATATAAATCATTTCCAAGTGGGTAAAAGCTTAAATGTTAAAAGAAAAACTACAAACCAATAAAAGATAACAGAGGATACTGTATTACGTAATCTGGGGTAGAGAAGAATTTCATAAACTCAAGAAATACAAACCACATAGGACAGTATTATCAATTTGCCTCTATTAAATTTAAGAACACTGTTCAATAGTACCTTAAAGAGACACGCCAAGCCACACATTGGGCGGTGATAGCTGTGACACTCGGGTGACAAGATGTAGTATGCAGAACGGAGGGGGTATACACTTATCTTTATACACATGCAAATACTTTTATGTCAGTGATTACATGGAAGGTATGCAACACCAGAAGCATAGACCGTTTACATTTTTTTTTATTTAATTATTACAAAAGTTTATTTTTACACATCATTTTGCACATTTTTTTTCCATCTCGATTGTAATCCCCGCGGGTTTCCCATCACCAAATCACCCGTGTGCCACCACCATAGTCCCGTGCATTTCCCTCCCTTCCCCCCCACCCCCCC